CAAATTACGTATATTGAGTTTATTTATTTATTTATTTTTGTACGATATTATAGAGTTGGACGAGCCCCCATTTTGTTACGTGTTGATAATTGTAACAAAGGAAAAAAAATTATTTACCACAACACAGAGCTAAATCACAAACAAATATTTAATTTACTAAAACAGAACATAAAATATATACAAGATAAACAATTGTGGCCTACAAAACAGAAAACACAGAGTTACTGGCAGAAGTGTTACGAGGGAGAAGGAAAGGGAGTCAAATATCTTTATCACTTTAGGGCTAGTGAAGTAATCTAAGTGCTATATTTGGAAATCCACAAAGGTCTGTAAATAAATATTAATTTTTAGTTTGGTCAATGAAAATTAGTCAAAATTCTATTTACCAAATGTGTTCCATGAAATTCTCTTTTGGGTTTTGGTTGATCGGCAACTTTTTATAGAGATTCTTTCGGCTGGATATAATAGTCCTTGAATCAAAAGCCGGAGTTGATAACAGCAGAAATTTCCATTCAACAACTGACAACCCTTTTCCAAAATCCCATTTTTATAGGGGCTAACACCTAATTTGCATATTTCTAGATGTTTCTCGAATCATCTAGATTTTTCTCGAATATACTAGAATGATCTAGAATCTTCCAAACATTCTATTTCTAATTTCTATTTATTTTTACTTCAAGAATGAAAACTTTTTGTAATAACAAGTAGAACTAAAAGGAATCCCTTATTATAGAAATGCATCCTCGTAACAGTACCAAAAAAATCTTTTTATAGAATGGCACATCAGGGAATGCCTTTGGTTTGGCATCAACTTTGACACTGACTGAATTATCCTGTGGGGCATAACACTTCAAGGCAGGATGTGAGGAAGAAATCAAGGAAGTTCACTCTATGTCCTGTTTTATCAAGAACATTGGTTTGGCTCTTCAGTGATCTGTTTGTAGGCAACATAAAAGTCTTGGCAGTATTTGTCTTTTGCATCAGTTTTGTTCACATTGACTAACCACTCTTTGTGGTGAATATTGAATTCACTATAAATATGAAAGCTAGCTGAGGGATGATCAGAGAGAATATTATCAATCATCTTAGCTATTTGGTTCTACATTACAGTTGTATTATCTTTAGGACGATAGTGAAGATGAAAGTGGTACTGTGGACAAGTGCCACTTGGAAGCACATCAGCAGATCAGGGCCCTTGTTTTTGGTTTCTCTGCTGCATGGGAACCTGTCCTTAATATAGGTACTGAGTCCATGGCCATGGCAATTTCAATGATCATGTTTTACTATTAAGGGCAAGTAGCCCAGGATTGTGAGTTCCTACCCATGGCATAGATGGATCATAAAAGGAGAAGTGACATTCAGTAAGCTTGATTAGAGTCCTGCATGTCAGCTACTCCAGTTGGATCAAGAAATACAAGAACTGCTCACTATTAATACTTATTGTTGTCGGTATCAACTCACTTGCTTTGCAATTCAGTGTGTATAGTGCCACAGGCATTTTTTTAACATGGAATGGATAAGTGATTGAAGGTCATTTCTTTCATTAAAGTGCAGGTGGATGATATTTTGGTTTCAAGAATTCATGATATGAGTTACAAATCTTCAGAAAGTATTGTTTGCATTGAACAATTCAAGACTTAAACTGAAAAAGACCAAATGTCATTCTTCTTTTAAAGGTGAAGATTTAGGATTAGTACAAAAGACATAACTCTACTTTTAGAGAAAAATTGCTAAAGGCCTCTATTCCAACGAAAGTTTAAAGATTTTCTTGGGGCTTTCAGTTATTATAATCATCATTTGTCAATTGTTATTGAATCACTGAATTGTTTGTTAAAATAAGAGAAAACAGAAAAAGGTTTCTCGAGATACCAAGAAAATACAGTATTCTGTGCCTTTGTTGACACATTCCATTCCTTCAGAACCAACTCTGTTGTATGTAGAGGCTTCTTCCAAAGGAATAGAAGCAGTAATAGCTTAGAAAATAGGTAATGAGAGTGAAAAGCCAGTTTATTACATATCCACATTGAAAAGGACTGACAAGCACTTGCATTTACAGTCATAAGATATTGTCAGTATCTGTATTTCATTCTGGGACCTGCGGCAGTAATGCTGATTATCTTAATCTTCTTTTGATAAAGATCTTGGTGGAGGATTGTTAAGTTTCAGAAAATAGAGTTCATATGATGAATTTGGTTAATTCTCCTGTAACAATAGCTGAAGAACATTTGGAAAATATAAAGGATTCTATTAAAAGTAATGTATATGAATTGACTATGAATGGCTTGGGAAATCATATTGTAATTACTGAATTGAAGTTGTACTTTAATAAATGAGAAGAATTGAGTTGTAGAAATGGTATGATACTGTTGGAAAGTTGGGTGGTCATCCTTCTCAGGTTGAAGGTGTCGTAAGTGTGTCTTCAGATCAATGGAGGAATACTGCACATGAAAGCTTTTCATTGATGCTATGTGTGTTGGCTAAACCTGGGTGATATTGAAATGACATGCAAGGCTAGTGAAGTATTCACATTCAGGACCAGAGCAGCCCTAAAATCATTCCAGTTCATGGCTGGGAAAGTATATATGTAGGTTTTTGCTGGTCCATTTAGGGAATATATATGTTCTTGATTGTTGTTGATGTATACTCAAAGTAAACTGAAGTTTGTATCATGAAGTCATCTGTTGTCCCAGTCATAATTATGAAGAAATCTTCACTAACAAAATCCACAATTCAGCTGAAGAATTTATTAACTTCACATGTAGAAGTCATACTGTCTCATGTTTCAAGTGTGAAAAGTTCCAATTTTTTATGAATTTCAATGGAATTTGGCATATATTTGCAGTTCCATATCACCCATCCTTAAAATCCCCAAGTGAATGCACTGAGGCAATAAAACAAGATGAAAATGGATTAAAAAAACAAAAAAATGAAAGTTGATTGAAATTAGTCAACAGGTTCTTGCTCAGAACTACTCTACAACAGCTGAAGCTTCTGATGTATTGTTGTTCAAAAATCAGTTATGAACAGCATTTCATCTACTGAAGCTTAAGTAAATGTACTGAAACCTGTATACTTTATTATATTCTGTGGAGATACTAAAAGCATTTATGCTTACTCAAGCCACATGGGTAGGTACAAATCAATAATGAATCACGAGTTGTAAGGTAACTTGTAATAGTAGTGTTTTTAAGGGCAGTGTTAGGTAAAAAAAAAATTAATCATTGTTTTCATGTGGTCTCCTCCCATGTGATTTTAGTGTTTGAGTTTCTCTTGTGTACATAAATTTTTTTTTTTGAAGACAAAAGTTATAAGATTCTCTCTTGCTGAGAATTGTCTCTATAATAGTTACTGAAAGGCAACAGATTGCTAATGCAAAATGAAGATTCCAGCAACAAAATGAGGAGACTTCTTCCTATTACTCTATTGACTTGCACACTTGCTTTTATGTTTTGCTGTCTTTTCATACAGCTTGCTATTTCTAAACTGTTGTCATTCATTGATTTAATACTTGAGCTGTCATCCATTTTTAAATCTGTCTTGCAACCAATTCTATTGTGCCAATCGGAATAGTAAATGCTGTTATCGCACTCAAATGACAAAAGCAGACATTGACTGGCTGCTGTTTCAGTAAAAATAAACAGATAAGTAAAAGTTCTATTCCTCAGGAATTAATTTTCTCTAAGAGCTATTGAATTGGGAATCCTGCTTTACCTGTGCATGTTTTGCATGGGCTTCTTATACAAGATTATTCACTTCAGTAATGCTCTTCACTCAGATTTTTATTGAGAACTATATTGTTTTGAGATTTAACATTGACTTTACTGAATTTTATCAAACATAAAACTGTAATGGCATTATGCAAGTTCACATGATTTTGTCATTGTGTTTTATCAATTCATTTTTATGAAAAAAATTATTTCATTGATCTGAAAGGCTTGTGAGAAACAGTTACAATTAAAAAAGTGTTATGTGTAGAATCTTGATATTGTGTACAAGCATTTAAACAAAATCAATCAGTGGTGATTTCAGAAGAAAAATATTTTCCTACTGAATGAACACATTTAAGAAAAAGTAACCAAGGGACAATTCTCTTGGCAATAAATTCATTGCTTTTCCTTCTTTCATTAAGTTATTTAAATCTCATAGGAGGTTAGTCAATATTAACTTTCCCTATAAAGCCAGGCATACCTAATAGTTCATACAGAGACAAAAGAATGATCTTGTTTGCTATATATTCATTATTTAAAATGAAATGATGCTATAAATTATACTACACAAAAAAGCTGCACTGAGAAAGAAAATAATGTTCATTATATTGTCCAGCTTAGTATTTTGATACAACTTCAATCTATCTAAGATAGAATATAGCATAGCTAGGTAAAATGCCTCACATATAACTACTAATTTTAGTAATTCAGCCTGTTACTATTAGCGTCTTTAATATTCCAAAAGGAATATAGATTCTAAAGCAAACTGATGATATTAATATAAAATAGAAATAAATATAATTTATGTCAAAAGCATAATTGTATATATTCATCTAATCAAAATTATACCATCAATTCTGATGATTTTGTTATTATCTAAAAGATATCTTTAAAAATGTTTGAGTAGACATGTAGTTTAAGTTGTTTATTTCTGTAAAAATTTTATTTTAAACATTCAGCTATTCTTTTAAAGGAATTGTTATCCTGTTGGGTATTTAAATAATTTTAGAGCTTCTCCTTTTGCTGCTAAATATCAAAGACAAGAAATAAACTTTCACATTACAAAAGGCAGATATAGATAAGTATTCTTTAAGGAGAAATAGGCTTATATTAACTTGTAGTGTTAAGACATCAATTTGCAATAATAATTTATTTTGTAATCATTCTTAAAACTTATATTTATTACCATATACACACATACACAGATCTTGTGCTGTCTTTATTATATGGATTATTTCTTGTTTTGTGATGTACTATGTATTGATTTTATTTTTTTTTTCTTTTACCTTGCAGCTGTTCCGTCGAGTGGCTGCAGCATTACCTGGAATGGAACAAGAAACTAAAAAACCAGGAGAAAGTATCCTTTTATCGAATTATTCTGTAACAGTTTTGGTATTAATGCCAGTATTTCTGAAACTGTTACAATGAACTACTGTTAACTGTTCTTTTTTTTGTCTGTTTCTCACTATTACTAATTCTATTTTTCTATTAACTTCAGCTATAGTGTTGCTTCCTGTTATCACATTCTCTTCTTTCTGTATTTCATTGTGTCAATGGAACACTTTGAAGAATAAATTATTATTTAAAGAATTAACTTTTAGAAAGTGGATTTTGATACAGAAATCTGAACTCCTTTCTTACTTTTGAAGTTTCTCTAAAGTATTTTTCATGAACTTTGATTTATCAGCAGCAATCTAATTCTATTTGTTTTAACATGCAATGGAATGAAAACAGACTGAAGATAATGTTTATGACAAAAAAAAAAAAACACAACAATTTCTGAATGCTTAAATGGATAATTCCTCTTTCATATTTGCTATTCTCTAAATGTTTGATGGGACATTCATCTAGTCATCTGTATTTGGTTACAAATATTGCTGTGTGTGAATGAATCTAATGAAAATTAACTTTTTAAAAATGTATTTAACCATTGCTAGTGTTCAGTTAGGACATATTCTTTGCATGTTACTTTTTGTCATTCTTTTTATGTGTGTGTTTTTAATCTTTGCATGGCTTATTTTTTATACCCATTATTTTGTTTAAAAGATGTTTTTATTTTCTTTTAATGAGAGAGTTTGAATTTAGGGAAGTAAAATTTACATAATGTATATATAAGGACAGTGAAATATAATTATTTTGGCAGACATACACTTATTTTTATGAATAAACTTTACTATACATATTTTTCCTAATTATTCTTAATGATTTTAGTTAAAAAGATATCCCATCTATTAGTTTAATCTGTTCATTTTTATGTGAGAAATCAGTTATATCAGAATATATTTTATTCTTGCATACTAAAATTATAAATAATATGGATCAACATTTTATCACTATCTTTTTATATTAATCTCTGTGGCCTCTTGAAGATAGGTTCTTTGAATTTATAAAGATTTTTTATAACAGTCGAGTTTAGTTCATGTAAATAATCATATTCTTCAAACAGTTGTTTTTGAAATCCAACTCTAGAATAACCAATATTGAGCTAGCCATGGGAAAAGTATGAAGAAGTCAGGTTGATGAGACTGATGATCTTGAAAGATTGTCTTGTCCATGGTCAGAGCAAAGCTCAGTGTAACTGGCAATGAAAGACAAAAAGGCAACTATGTTAGAATTATGAAAATTTCTTTTGCTTACTACAATTAGAATAATTACCTAAAGCTGTTTGGCAGCAAAGTGAGTTCAATTACACAATTTTGGAGGTTCAAGTTTTCTGAGAAACATGATGAGTAAACTAAGTTTTAGTTGTAGCTTGTGGTGGTATGAACACCATTCAGTTCAAAAGAGTTGAGGAATTCATTTGGGTTCTGAACTGCCTCAGAAATGCTTAGAACTTTATCAGTTGACTTGTAGAGCTGAACCTCTTTAGAAATTAGTTGTAACAGCTTTGGATTTATTAATCTTTGATTGCATTCATTCTTTGCAGCAAGAATGCCTTGCTATCAGGGCGACTGGTAATTTTGTACATTTAAGACAACTGAAAAAAATTAAGTTTCATACTTTAAATTTTTTGTCTTAATGTTTTTCATGCTCCATAATACTTTAGAAACAAAACAGAAAAGGATAAGCTTGAGTTCTTTTATTTGGTAGAAAAATCAAATTTAATACAAAATTGACCTCTGTTGACCTTGAAGGTCGGTTGGATTTAACCTGTCATCTTTTTCTACCAAGTTACATACATGTACTAAATTACCTCCTACAAAGTAATTGACTGCCATAAAGGCCACAATTTAAATCTACTTCATGTGACCTTAGAGGTCAGTTTGACTTTATCCATTTTACTATTTGTGATGTCAGAAACATTTTAATTTTTCATAGCAAACTCATGGACATGCCATTCTCTTGATGATCACTAGTAACATCTGGAGTCAACTTCACATAACCTATGCTATTTTTGTGGTTATTCATACAAAAAAAACGGGTCCCTTGAACTTTGGTCATTATGTCCGAATATACTCAGTACAGATAAAAAAATATCTTTAATATTGTGTTGCACCAAGAAATCCTTTGTATGATATTTGAAACTAGTCATACTATTTTCTTCATTTTTGTTGTTATCACATTTAACATTTCAACCACTGTGCCCTCTATAGCCTCCATCAGGTACTTGCTGATATGCATCTTATGAAGTCTAGAGGGTACAACAGCCAAAGCATTGTGATGACAAAGATGAGGACAATGGTAAATAATGATAACTTCTCATCCTAGAAATTCAGACAGAAACTAATAGATATCTCCGGTTTTGAAAGATTGTTTTGCATATCTTCATTTAGATTTTAATTAATAAATGATATTAATAGTGTTAAGGACTAAAAAAGTATTTTCTATAAGCAGGTAACTTCTTTTCTCAAGCAATGGATCTTATAATTACTTTAAAGTTTCTTTATTGTGAAATTCTTTGTTAAATTTAAGTAGAATGGAAAAAGATTTGTTATTTTGATCTAGCTTATTAAATCTCTTGACAGATATACTTATTGGGTCCAACCCATTCATAGAAATGCATTCAACACAGATTATTAGATATTGATTTGACCAACTCATTTACTGTAATTTATGTAACACAGAAGGTTCCATATTTTTTATGTGGAGATGCTCTCTAAATTTTTTTTCTTTACCAAACAAATAAATTTACAGTGGCCTGAACTATGCCTTTGTCTCTAAGGCCAGTGTACTTTGAATTTCATCACTCTCCATTGATATGTCTTATATGTTACTTGGATCTTATCCACAAATGGGTCATGTAATCTTTTCTTTCAGATATTGTTTGCTATTCCAAACTTTTCTACTTTATTACTGAATGTTCCTTAAACTGGTTTCTCTCCCTTATCGTAATTTCCATACTAGCAGTGAATAGTAGGTGTGCAATTATTTGTCATCCATTTCTTTCATGAGACCACTTTTATAAAGGATATTGCAAAGAACAAGGATTGAAATCACCAATGTTAGATACAGAAGTGTGAATGGATTAATCTCATCACTATATTTGCCACTATTTCTTTTTCTATATACGACCATTTTCTGGTTTTCATTGATAAGAAAAATTACCTTTTTTTCCCATACAAATTAGATATTTGATTAGGGTCATAGACTAGATTGGTCATAAACATTGTATTAATAACAAAAACAATAAAAAAAAAATAAAAGGATGGGTTAAATGTTCTTATTTTTTTCTATTGGGCTTTAATATGCATCCATCTTTCTCCAGTTGCATTATGTTTTTCATTTGAAAATCTTGTACTCATTAAAAACTAGTATTTTTATATTTCCAACTTAAAAAGAAATAATTGTAATATTTTAAAAAGCAGATTTTCAGTTATTTTAAAACATATCTAAAGATCAGAACTAGATGTATTTTATATTTAAAAGATTTTTTGAAAATTTCTGCATCATATGTTGAATTTTATTTCATTGGAAAATTAAGGCCATTAAAAGACTGAAGTATAAATGCTTAGACTAGGCAATAAAATTATTTTTATTTGTAGATGAAAGGAAAATAAGCTAATTTTTCTACAACAAAATTAATCGAACATTTCAACATGTTCTATTAATTTTGTTGTAGAAAATTTAGCTTATTTTCCTTTCAATAAAAATAATTATGTTTAATGTTATTCAGATGAAAATATATGGAAAGATCTCACATATGGAAGTATCTTCATAAATTACTTTTTGGATCAAAGGATATTTTTTTTATCAGAAACAACTGCTTTTTTTGTTTCAATTGTATATTATATAATCTATATATAGGGAAATTTTGGTTAGGACATCAATTTTCTAAATAGAATTTGAAGTGCCCTACCAAATTATAGATATCCCCCTAATAATGCATTGTTTGAATAATGATGACTGTATAATATTGCCTGGAATCTATGATGTACTGTAGTTGTTTCATGGGTATATTGATCCTGGATCATTCCAGGGTTATTTATAACTGAGTTGTGTTGGGTGTGGCTACAGATAATTTAGTGCAGGTCTCATACATGCTCACAGGAGTTTCAGCATAAGAACCACTGGAGTACGTAGAAGTCAGCCAAATTCTCCTGAAAAGTTTCAATTCATCCACATATAAAATGTCATCTCTACTGGAAAAAAACATAGTGAGTATAAAGAGATGCAAATGTCCTGCAGTAAGACCTGTAGATGTCACACCTATTAAAGACTCCAGTTTCACTCTTGGTGCTTGAGAACTCCAAAATAACACACATCCTACTGTTACAGAGTCATCACTAACACCCTGTTGACAGACTGGATCCAGAGCTTCATGTGTTCTCTTCTACAGAACTTGCTGCCAATCTTCCATTGTAAAATGGCCCAGGTGATGCACAGTAATTGATTTCATGGTATTAATAATGCTACTGTTGTTAGTCACAGACTAAAAAAAAAAACTGTGTATGTTGGACAGTGCATTGAATTGTAGTGTTATTTCATGTAATGTCTCCTTTTCATTCATATTTTCAGTGGTTTTATTTTTTTTTTTTGATCGACTGTGGATGATCGCTGTTCTCACATGTTGCTGATGTTTATTCAGAATTCACACATTCTTCATCTGCCTTTGCTATTTGCTAAGCATAACTTTGTTTTGGTATGATGTCACAAGTATAGAGCACCCAGTAAAGATTGAACACATGACTAATGGTCCAGCCTGCAGACCATTACATCATGATGAAGTGTCATTAAATACTAAGTGTATCTTAGTTTTGACACACAGGTATGAAGCCACCAGTGAGGATGAAACTCACTACTCAATAGTAATAGATAGCTAAACTTGTTCACTGAACATTACTGCTGCAAACACAACTGTTGATACTGTTGTCTGAGGAAAAACTATCTAGAGCAGTTGCTACAGTGAAGATGGTGTTC